AAATGGGTAAATTCATACCGAAGAGCCGCTTCCCTAGCAGCATCACGGACTTCAGCTTTCTCAGTTCTCTTCTTTTGAATCACCTCAAGTGTGGCACCAACAATAGACCTAGAGTAGGGCTTCTTGGTGGTACGCCTCCTCTTTTTCACAGTTTCTGCATGAATGTCCTAAAACAGAAATAGGGCGAGAATCACACATGGAGTAGAAACAAACGTCATAGAAAACAAAATGAGTAAAGCAGAAAATGTACCTTCTTATGCTGCTTCCTGTACATTGCAGTCCAGGTGAGCTTGGATGGCTTCAGTCTGTTATGGAAATACCTCTTACATTTCGAATTGGCAAACAAAAAGACCTGCATTTAAAAGAGAGGTACGTGTCATTTGACAAGCAATAAAACCGAGAAAATTATGTACCCCAATCAAATCGAAAATAAATGGCACAGCGTACTACAACTCCTGAAGATGAACAGTTGAGAATAACTCATAATTGGGTCCACTAGGACATTCTTATTTCCATTGTCCATCATCAGGAACAGATGCTGTAAACCCTAACTTAACAGATATTGCAACCCTTACTTTGAATCACTGTATACACCCAACAGAATGAATTAAACGAAAATCGGTCATACAAATTGAAGTAAATATAACCATACCAATATCAAGAATGTAATAAAGCCATGAAACTGACTATGTGATACTGAGTACTGAGAGAGAAGCTTGATTTTTACCTGGGAGTCAGAACGAATGAACCTGATACCCCGACCAGGATATATCTTCGCACCACTGAAGCGGCAAAGCTCAGTCCTGCAAATTCAATAAGAAAAATAAATATAAACTATAGACCAATGAAATACAGAGGTGAAAAGCAAATCATTCCACAACCTAAATCAATATTATGAGCAGCAAGTACTGAAGCCATCCTTCCATTTTCATTTTGACAACCGAAAACTCCAGAGGAGAACGGTCACATGAACGTCGAAATCCCGGAAACTTCGTCTGTACCCAAACTTATACATGTGCCTTCTGAATTCTCAGCAGAAGTTGCATATATGCAATGTGTGCAGGGATGGGTTTCAACAAATCACAGTTTTGCTTCTTCCAATTGCTCTTCTATGTATTTTTACATTTCCAAAGATGATGGTAACTTCGTTTTCTGGTTCTGTAACTCGTGCTTCTTTATTTCTTTATTTGATTACATACACACCTCTAACGAAAAAAATAACCCAAAATATTTATTAAAAAAGGAAAAATTGAACCTCCAGAAGCCTGAGAAGTCCTGAGGCAACTGGGAAATTGAGTAGCCTAATGTCTTTTAGAAAGTAGCATTTTTAAATGAGAGAAAGGGGGAGGGGCATTTCAGCCATTTGACCCTCCAAACATTTACAGAAGTCCCTCTCTGAACACCATGCAGTGGGTATTAGTAACTTTGCTTTGCCAACATTTCAGAAGATATTTTTCTGAAGGCAGGGATGGCACGATTTTATGGATGAGTCAGTAACCAATTTTTTCAAAGATTTAGTTATGTAAATGATGACTACAAGGATATTTCTATTGATTATTTCTCTTATCCTTCAAGATACCTTCAACATGACCAGGATACAAAATAAAGGAAGAGCTGGTCGATCTTCTATAGAGGCAATTTAGAACACAGTGCACTGAACAATCAAGATCAAATGAATATTTTGAAACAAATGAATCGGCCCACAATTAAGAAATGAGCAACAAAACCAGGGGCAAATTCAATGCTCCAGCCTGAGTTTAAACTGGTTTAGTTGTTTTTGACTCAAAATAATTGGTATCTTATACTATGAGAATTTAAAAGTGACGTAGTTTCAAGGAAAGACTCAGAAAATGGGTTTCAGTATATGTCTCAGTGCTTTCCACCTAAATGGATGAAATAATAAGGATGGACACACAGTCCTCACCTAAAGAACATCGATACATATAGTTCTTGCAACTTGTGCACATCATATTCTCCAAAAACGTATATTAGCACATTTACAGCTGAATACTCTAAATATATCAAAAAAATACAAAGAATGAGGATACCATCATAAAGAATAGGCAATAATTTCATGCAATGGTTGTATCATAGTATAATGCAACCACACTTCTTAAAAACCATGTTTATGGTATTTGTATGACCCAAAATTTTGCACAGACACTCTCTTCATCTAAATAATGAATCTCAAAAAACAAAAGTTCAATTTGGACCTTAGATATGGTCAAAATGAGTCCCCTCCAATAACAAATCTAGACCATTCATTTAGTGAATTTCAAGATCTTAGCCTTTACAAACTCAAAATCATTTTTTTCTTCTTCAACATTGTTCATCTAATGATAATAAACCCATCTAAAAAATTGGAAAAGAATAATCCTTATGAGGCCTAGATTTAAGC